CAAAAAAACATTCATATCTTGTCTGACATCTCTGCTACAAACTCTGGTCATCAACTCTGGTTTTCAGTTGAAATTGGAATTGTTAATTTACACAATAATAGGAGTGCATTGACGATTTTTTCTTAATTCGCAAAAATCTTCAAACAATTTGCTACCGATTGGTGATAAATTTTTTTGGAAATAATGAAATAGGGGGGATAACGCCTTTTTTTTCAGGGGTGATTTTTCAAAAATTTATTTTAAAAAAAGTACCAATTAGCAAATGTTTTTTATTAGCTCGCATTTTTTTTCAAAACTACTTCAATGAGGAAAAAAATAAAAATTTGGAATATCTATACATGAGGGGCTAATTGATGGGATCTGTAAAACACGATTTTACGATCCACATGACGAACCGTAAACTGGCGGTTTTCAGCAGAGTGTGAAGAAAAATATTTATTTGTAAAAAATAGCGGATCGAGCGAGTAGACGTGGGTCTGAAGATAAAGTAGAGTGCTACCTCGTTGCAACCGGTTCCACACGTGGAGTCTGGCCGTTGACCGGCGCCCCACCGAGCTGTATCATTCTCCCCCAAATCGTGTTATTCATTATCCCGTTTATCAATTTTTTTTCAACACATTTGCATAACTGAACACGATTTTATGCTCCACGACGAGACTCCAATTTTGCAGGTCCCCGGGTTTATCTCATGAATAATTTCTGCAATCGACTCTGGACCTCTCAAACATTATTAAAAAAGATAGGCTGCATCTGTTGGTGTTCTTAATGTCGTATGAATGCATCTCGATTTTTGAAGCTTAACATTTGGATCTTTTTTTTTAATTTAACGTAATATTAGTTGAAATGTTCTGGGGAATCTTGCGATTCGTCGACGGTCCGGTACTATTGATAATAATTTATTCAGAAGTGCTAAATAATATAGTCTTACGAGAAAAATATCTTTTCAGGGTTGAGAAGGTCAAAACCTAGATAAAAATCTGATGAATAAAAAAAATCAATAAATGAGTTATCTACAGTCTTAAACTTTTGTTACATAAATAATTAAAAGTAGATTGATAAAGTGAATATATGAGCCAAATTTTGAAAAATTGATGCATCGATTTGGTTTTCAATCTGAAATCAGAGTTCATAGCAGAGATGTCGGACAAGATATGAATGTTGTGCCAACATCATCCAGTCGGCTCTAGGAGTCTCTCCTGGTTAAAAAATCATCCTTAGAGACATTTGCACGGCATTTCGAAACTCGCTCTTCAATTCGGGGCCAAAAAAACATTCACATCTTGTCTGACACCTCTGCTATGGACTCCGGTTTTCAGTCTGACAGCTGGGAAACTAACAGCTGAGAAATTTCGCTGTGCGTCCCAAAGAAATTACTCTGTAAAAGGGAAAAAGTGTCTCTCGCATTTCTTTTCATTGATTTCAAATGAAAATTCTGACTGTGATTTTTCCGTCATTTTTACTTCGTTTACAAGTATTCAAATATTTCCTAAAATAATTATGATAAGAATAGATATTGAATTGATAGCTTTCATGAACGATTCACATGGTTGCATTCTTATCTACTCTGCCATGTGGCAGTAATTAAGTAATGTCGTTATTTCTTCCTAAACATGGGTTTGAATCCACGATTTCACTGTAGTTTCAGGAAATTCTCTTGAACGAACAAAAAATTGATTGTTCAATTCATAATGGTGACTATCTCAAGACAAAACTGCGGTGAATTCCCCTGATTGATAAACAAATTCTGAGAAATCGGAGACAACATTGTCTTCCTGCGCGATTTCTTCTATTTCAATCGCATGATTCCAGTAATTATGGCTCTCGATGTTTCCACCTGATTCCTTCATTTTTGCACTTTTCCGTTCGTGGGTAATAATCGAGTTGATAAGCACTACTCAAGTTGTTATTTGCCTTGACTTGCAAGGGCAGGGCAGTATCTAAATTGCTCGAATGGTAGTTCTTGATAACATAAAGAGTAAATGCAGTAGTGAAGTAGAATAAATGAATTTAAATTAATTTTTCCGCGTTACCCTCGACAATTTGAATGGAGAATGTTCCTACATCCTTAAGCAAAATGCATCATGCATTACTGATGATTCATGAAGCGACTGTTGAGAATATATATTTGTAAATGCGCCAAAACAACTCTAACAATTCATTACCGAAGCGGTAAAACAGTTTAATTCGTCTTGGCTCTTAGCTGAGTTTTCGAGGCATATCTCCGAATCTAAAGGAGATAACGAAATTGTCATAATGACCTTTTTTGTAGCCCTTAATCCGCTCTACAAAAAAGGTCATGACAAAAATTTAGCCATCTCCCTTAGATTCCGAGATATTCATTGAAAACCCGCCAATAGCCAAAAACGACAGCGTTTTACCGCTTCGCTGAGTTTTCGAGGAATATCTCCGAATCTGAAGGAAATACCGAAATTTTCATAATGACCTTTTTTGTAGAGCGAATTGAGCTCTACAAAAAACATTATGATAAAAATTGTGCTATCTCCCTTAGATTCCGAGATATTCATCAAAAACTGGCCAATACTGAATTCTGAGTTCGCTACTGAATTTTAATCAACTAAAATAATTCCAACTACTTTGCCAAATTCCCGATCCAAATCACCACGATCATCACGTACTCCTAATCATTCATCCTATGAATAATCCACCTAAAACCCCCTAGACCCCTTCAGCGGTCCCAAAACCACCGATCCAATTCAACAGACCAAATCTTTCTCCGATAATCAGTTAATTGATAACAATCTGCCACGCTACCCAAGCCCCAAGTGATCGTTCACTCGAAGCTTCACATCAGTCAAGTATCCGTTCTCCTCGGGCAATCACTCGTAGTGGGATTAACTCCCGATTCAAAGTCGAAATGTAAAATTCCAAAATCCACAAACACGAACATACAGAACTCTCGAGATGACTTTCATGAACACGAGTTGCTCTCAAGTGGTTCAGGGTGATTATCCCGCCTGGGGTCATCCACCAGTGATCAACGCTTGTCCAACAATCCCCGGAAGTGATCAAAGCTCCTGTGCTTTTAGTTCAACTCTCCACACCTCAATTGACGTCGAGGATCTCGCCAATGTCTTTGGAAATGGCTTGAAAAGCCATTCGGAACCGAAAATCCAGTATTCACGGCATCCTCGAGTGTTCCGTGGCAATCAGCTATCGAGATCTTCGGCTTATCAGCAAGTCCAACGCGATGATTTCAATTGTCGAAGCGATTGTTACGAATTTTGTCCGGTTTACGATGATTTTAATTGCTCGAGGGATTTTCCACAGGATGTGCAACAGCCATTTGGAATTCTCTGCACGGAGGCACAGTGGTTGGCTTGTCCTGTTGACAATTGTCCCGTTTCTGAGGACAGGGGAGGTGGGCAGGGATGGGATTGGAATTTAACCCCTGCTTATCCAAATGTGCGTCTAGACGGATCACTCGAGGAATGTCAGTTTTATCGCGGCGATTATAGCGGTTATTGTCCACTGGTTAATGATGATGAGGACAGACAGAGTCTGGAGGATTATTTGTAAGTTGAGAGGGTTTAGGTGGGTGAGGGTCTGGGATTGATTAGGTTGTTCTTCATTTTTTGAGGAATATCTTTGGATGTGAGGGTAGTTATTCTCAATACATGAGACACAACACCAGTTAAACGAAAGGACAGTTTTATTAGAACACAACGAAGACATGTTTTTCATCACAATGTTCGCAAAACGCCGTTTATGGACATTGTGACGAAAAATTATGTTCATCACTCGGCCGAAAACAACTTTTCTGACTCGTGTGATTGCATTCCTCGGCTCAGCCTCAACCTGCAACCCTCACACTCGTCAGAAAAGTCTTTTTCGACCTTGTGATGAAAATAGCTATTTAATGACAGGAGTCCAGGACAATTAAAGTTTGAATCGAAAGATAAAAGTATCCAGGGTCCATCATGAAATACACTTCAGCTTGTACGTTCAAGAGAAGGGGGGAATCCGCAACAATAACTGCATCAAAGTTTGGGAAAAGAATATCAAGTGTTTTCGGCTGGGAGAAGCGCAGGAATAGGAAGAATACTTCATTATGTTATTTGGTTTGGGATCTAAATCTTACTCCTGGACAGAGGAACAGGAGCTGCAAAAATGTTTGGGACGAGAATGCTTCATCACTTTCATGGCGTTTTGACTTCTTCAATGTGTCATGATGGTCTTTTGATTTCAGGAACAATGAGAAGCGCAAGGAGAAGTCTCGCGATGCAGCTAGATGCAGAAGGAGCAGGGAGACAGACATATTCGCTGAACTCGCTGCAGAACTACCAATAACCCAGGATCAAGCTCAACATCTGGATAAAGCTAGCATCATGAGACTTGCTATCGCTTATCTCAAGGCTCGCAGTGTTGTCGATGGCTGTGAGTACCTCTCAGTCATATGTTTGAAAACATTCATTCTTCCTTATTATTTCAGTGTCATCATTATTTATAATTATTTGAATAAATTTGTTGCAGTGTCAGAACCGCTCTTGAAGACCGAAAAGTTTTCGGAGATGGACACGATGTGTCAAGAAGCCTTAGATGGATTTATGCTGGTGTTGGCTAGTAATGGAGACATGGTGTATCTGTCTGAGAATGTCACTGACTATCTGGGAATTCCACAGGTAAGAAAATCAGTAGAATCGTCTTGCGTCGAATTTTCATGAAGCCCACCTGACAAACAAAAGAGAATTGAATAGCACTCTATGGAACATGAATAAACGAATCATAATTGTCCAAATCATTTAGGTCGGAGGAACATAGAATAATTCTACTTTCTTAATATTGCGTTTACTAAGGTTTTCTTCGAACAAAGTTGATTAGAATTAATAGCTAGAATTATGAGATTATCTCACATTTTTGACGTTAAGGATAGGAGAATCTGAATGCAATATAGTGAAAATGATGATCGATTTTTTCACTTTGAACAATTAATATTAATATCCAAATACAAAGTTTCTGATATGAATAAAAAGAAGCGGTGACTCAATATTCCAAATGAAGTTTTAATTTTTAATTTGGGGCTGAAAACACGAGATGACAATATTCTAAGCACGGAATTATATTGATGAGATGAACAACAGATTAATTGAATTAGCGTGTGAACTAACTAAAAACTGATAACACTGTGGGCACGCACTTTTACCAGAGTATCAACAAACATTGAATTCCAGAAATTCACACTCTAAAGTGTATTCTAGAAGGAAGTGAATTGTAATTATGATTAAAATCTTATTCAGTGAGCATAGGAATTAGAGCATGAACAAATCATTTATTGTGATATGAAAATTTAACGGCTGATTAATTGGAACATATGATTCTCATCGGTCGTATTGCTTTTTGCAATGAGATTGATTATGAACAATTAATCGAAGAAGGCCATGATAAAAGGACATCAACCAGTTGAAGATAATAAATCATGAATTGTTGCGTATTAAACCTGGAAATATTTTAATACTCACCTGATTTATTGATAACTCAATTTTTCTTTACGCTTGTCATGTGCAGATGGACATGATGGGCCAGAGTGTCTTTGAGTACGGTCACCCCTGCGATCATGATGAAATTCGTCAGTGCCTGTCCATGACGACTGAAGATGTCAATGAAAAACGCAGCTGCAATTTCTTCCTGCGTTTGAAGTGCACCCTCACCAGCAAGGGACGTAAAGTCAATTTGAAAAGTGCGTCGTACAAGGTAATATCACCATTTATCAGTTGTTAATTGGACGCTTCAGGCAGAAATGCCAGGAGATACGTACCTCAGATTTCTAATTTGAAAAAACGTATTCAAAGTAGTATTAACAGACCTCAATTTTTAAAGATAAGAATGTGAATTGAATTTTACATGGAAGTTTATGAAAATAAAAATATTCAGGGGGAGTTCAGAAGTTCCAACTCATACATTTTTATGAGAAAATGGCATTTTCAAAGTTAAGAGAAAGATTGAAATCTTATAAAATCAGGAAAAATAAATAAAAAATGTCCGATTTGAAAGTTATCGACGGTCCAACGAGAAACTCTTGTTTAAATAAATTATAAAAAAGAGAATTTGATGGATTTGTTTCCAAAATTAGAACTAATAAAAAAAATATCAATGATGAATAACTATTTTTTTGTACATTTTACATTTAATTCATTTATAATTCCTGTCCAAGATTAGTATTTTCTTCAAAATACCACAGACTCTTATCAGAAAATGACACTTTCAAGGTTCAGAAAAAGATTAAAAATTAGAAAGGTAGAAAAATCAGAGAAAAATTAATAAAAATTGCATGTTGATGTCTTCAAATTCAAATATTGAGATGCGTCCGTCCAAGTTGCAGTTCTTAAATACATTAATTCGCAATGGACAAGTTCTAATAAATCACATGGAAGCATAAAGCCATGACAATGAATTATTTAATTAATTATTGTTAATAACTATTCTAAAATCAAATCATCAATGCGCTGTTTTAATTGCTTAACCAATGATTAATATGTTGAATTAAAAATGTGAAATTATTAACAATTATAATGGAATTGATTGTCTAGGTGATTCACTGCATTGGACACCCGATGATATCTCGTCAGGCTGTGTCTGACGAAGCTGAGGAGTCGGATGAGGGAATACGCGAGTTCTCTGGCTGTGGCTCCTCTAGCTCTGGCACCGAGGACAGCCAGGATGACTCTGACAAGGCAAATGTCAAACCGTCAACAGGAATCTCTCTGGTGGTCGTTGGATGCCCCATTCCTCATCCAAGCAATATCGAGGTGCCTCTGGGACGCCACACATTTCTATCCAAGCATAATCTCAATATGAAGTTTACTTATGCTGATGACAGGTGAATATTAGGGTTTTTTCATCATTTTTTGTTCATTCTGATGACAAATTCACAGAATGGAAACACTGGAGGGGAAATAAATGAATTGAATTTAAAATGCTGAGCAAAAATATTATTTATCATTGATATTTCTTTTTATTAATTGTAATTTTGAGGAGTTTATGCCAAAAATCCACCAAATTCTCTTTTTTGTTATTCATTTTTCCGGATTTTTCAAGACTTTTCAAGACTTCAATCTTTTTCTCAATGTTTTTTGCACGTTTATTATTGAATGATATTTTTTTATTATTTTTTCTGATTTTTTCTGGATTTCAATCCTTTTTTTAGCTTTGAAATTGTAATTTTCTCATCAGATTAGGTGATTTAGAACTTCTGAATTAATTATTATTAATAATAGTAAACTCCTGATTAATTACAAATTGCACCTGAATATTTCTATTCATATGGACTTTAATTTAGAATTTATTTCAGATTTTGATCTTTAAAAAATTGAGATTACTCTTCAAAAATTCATATGTTTGGTGTAAGAATAATTATGAAAATAAATTACAAGAGTATTTATAAAATAATAATAGCCTATTCAAGAAAATGTTGTAATTAAACCGCAATTCATTTTGAACTTTCGACTTATCGATTTCAGACTCTCCGAATATTTAGGATGGAGTAGCAACGAATTGATGGGAAAATCCGTGTTTGACTTTCATCATGCACTCGACAATTGCGCCCTGAACAAGTCCTTCAAGTCCCGTAAGTGGAACTATCAGTAAACTAATTCCAATTTTAACTATTAGCCGGTTTTCAATAAATATCTCAAAATCTACTAAAAATATCAAAATTTTTGTCATGACCTTTTTTATAGCCCTCAATTCGCTCTACAAAAAAGGTCATGACGAAGAATTCGCTATCTCCCTTAAATTCGAAGATATTCCCCTAAAACTCCGCGAAGCGGCAAAACGATGTCGATTTTGAGTATTGCCCAGTTTTCAATAAATATCTCGAAATATATGCAAAATATCAAAATTTTTGTCATGACCTTTTTTATAGCCCTCAATTCGCTCTACAAAAAAGGTCATGACGAAGAATTCGCTATCTCCCTTAGATTCGAAGATATTCCCCTAAAACTCCGCGAAACGGCAAAACGATGTCGATTTTGAGTATTGTCCACTTTTCAATAAATATCTCGAAACATACGCAAAATATCAAAATTGTTGTCATGACCTTTTTTATAGCCCTCAATTCGCTCTACAAAAAAGGTCATTACGAAAAATTCGCTATCTCCCTTACATTCGGAGATATACCTCAAAAACTCAGCTAAGTGCTGAGTTTTAATGAACTAAAAATGAAAAACGAAAGAAAATAAGAGCGAAAACCAAAAAATAAGAAGAATAAAATAAAAAGTGGGGAAATTCCTTCGTCTTCATATACCACAGCTGTTCCTCCTCATAAATACCCAAAAGTTCTTGTCCACCTGAATAAATCTTGTTCACTTCCACAACAATCCTTCACACGCAGTCCCTGAAGACTCTCCCGATCGATGGAGATTATTCTCCTCGAGTTCGTCGAGTCACCCTGGACTTTTATCGTCCCATATCTCCTTGTCGTCGAGCCAGTGTTTTATTTGATCCCATGTCTCCAGAGGCCCGGAGTCGTATTCTTGGATCGCATCAACTTTTTACGAGAGCCACCCACACAGCTGTAGCTTTTCTGCTACCTCAACTCTTCCCAGTTCCTTCGCACCGGGAAATTTACCCCGATTTCTTAATATTTTTGGTTTGTTTATTTCGGAGATTTTCCTCGAGCTTCTGAAACGAGTCGATTTCAACACGAAAACAAGCAAAATTGGATCGCCCACTAGTGTCTCGTGAAATTCATCACTTTTTCACAATTTTTTTTCCATTGTCTTTGTTACAGTTTTCAGCAAGGGACAGTGTGAGACTATGGCGTATCGTTTTCTCAGCAGAACCGGTGGCTACGCCTGGGTCGTCACCCAGGCTACTCTCATTCGCTGCCCAAAGCAGAATAAACCGCTGTCTGTCGTTTGTGTCAACCACATCCTGAGGTGAGTCAAGAAAAATTAATTGAAATGCACTAAATTTTCCTGATTTACATCAATTTTTATGGAATAGTTGAACTAAAATCAACAGTTTTCATTGATTTTTCCGTAAAAATTTGCATTTTTCATGACAAAATTCTTTGAAGATTGGAGGATTCTTCAATTTATTTGAATTTTCAATCAAAAGATCTATAATCAGTGCCAATTACGCTGAATTTTCCTGATTTACATTAATTTTCAAGGAATAATTGAACTGAAATTAACAGTTTTCATAGATTATTCCATAAAATTTGGCATTTTTCATTACAAAATTCCTTGAAATTTCAGTGGAACTGTAATGCGATGGACATTTGCAAGAAATGTCCCAAGAATTTCAATCAAAAATATCTTAACAGTGTCTTATAAGAAAAACTTTCCTGTAAGAAGGTTTGAAAAATGGGTAACAGTTCCCCAATTCACTAAATCACCCTCACTTTCTCTTCCCATCAAATCTGTCAATCTTCACCCCAAGAGAACACAAAACTCTTCTTTCGTGAATTGCCTCGTTTCAGATTTCACTGGAAGATGAGAATTCCCCACTTTTTTGAATTTTTATTCAAAACATCAATAATCACTGCCAATTACGCTGCATTTTCCTGATTTACATTAATTTTCAAGGAATAATTGAACTGAAATTAACAGTTTTCATAGATTATTCCATAAAATTTGGCATTTTTCATTACAAAATTCCTTGAAATTTCAGTGGAACTGTAATGCGATGGACATTTGCAAGAAATGTCCCAAGAATTTCAATCAAAAATATCTTAACAGTGTCTTATAAGAAAAACTTTCCTGTAAGAAGGTTTGAAAAATGGGTAACAGTTCCCCAATTCACTAAATCACCCTCACTTTGTCTTCCCATCAAATCTGTCAATCTTCCCCCCAAGAGAACACAGAACTCTTCTCTCAATGTGTAGCAAAGAATATCGTGAATTTCCGAAGAGTCTCATTAGGAAGTCCCCCAGGGGATGAGTTTTTTCTCATCGGGAGGGGCCTGGGCGCTCTTTAGCCCGAGATTTCAGTGATGAAGTGCGTCGTTTCAGATTTCACGGGAAGTTCAATGAAATATCGAATTTTTGAGCTGCAAGAAGACAAGAATTTCCCAATTTACTTGAATTTTCAATTAATGAAAAATCATAGAATATATTTCCTTGAAATTTCCAGTTTTCATTGATTTTTCCATAAAATGTTGGATTTTCACTGACAAAATTAAAATTTCCAAGTGCTTCCATGAAGTTCCATTTTTTTTCTGACACTGCAATTCATAGAAAAAATAATATGACAGATTTCCTCCTAGTTTCATCAGAATGTTCCTCAGGCGATGAGTTTTTTATTATTGGGAGAGACCTGGGAGCTTTAGCTCGAGTTTCCTGCGATGAATTGCGTCATTTCCAATTTCACGTAAATTACAACGAAATATCAAGTTTTTGATTGACAGAAAGACAAGAATTCCCCAACTTACTTGAGTTTTTAATTAACGATAAAATCCAAAAATATATTTACCTGAACTTTCCAGTTTCCATTGATTTTTCCATAAAAAAAATTTTGAATATTAATAACAAAATTCCTTGGAATTTTACTGAAAACTACAAAAAAAATAGATTTAAAAAAAAGAATTAGGAAACATTTGCGAATTTCGAGTTTGTTGAAATTGTTTAAAAACGATTCTTTTAATTGTAAAAAGATTTTACAATAAAAAAATTCCAAGCGCACCATGAACTTTCCTTGGAATTTCAATTTTTCTCTAATTCATGCAAAAAAAAGAAAACAAATCTCGTGAATTTCCTCGCAGTTTCATCAGGAAGTCCCCCAGGCAATGAGTTTTTTTACCTCATTCTGAGGGACCTGGGAGCTCTTTTGCTCGCGATTTCGGTGGTGAGTTGCGTCATGGGGTATTCGTACGCGCCGTCGTGAGGGAGAGTAGCAAAGTGGTGGGAATAGCAAGTTGCGTATTGTTGCTGATGTCAGAAGGACTCAGAGTTAGTTTACCACCGAGGAAGAAGACAAATATTTGGGAAGAGAATTCTCTACTCTCGTTATCGTAGACTTGTCGAATCGAGTATCACGTGTTTTTTTCACAATTTAATTTGTGTTTGTACCTGCGCGATGGCTCTCGACGTATTCTGAGGTAATTCAAGATCAGCTGATGACACAGTTATCGGTGGCTATTACGTTTGAGGAATTGATAAGAGGTCAGAACAGGTGAACACTGAATTTTACATTATCAACATTCAATGCATTCGCATTTCGCGCACTTCCCTAACGCAAAAAGATAATGATCAGTGGTCATAAAAATTTTTTATTTCCATTCGCAAGTTCTCGCGCTCGAGGGATTTATTCATCTGCGTTTCGGTGATTTTTATTTGTATTTTTGCTTGCGAACGGAAACTTTGTAATCCCTCAAATTTGAGGATATCCAGGCGCTTTGGCTATTTTTTCTGCAGTGAAATGCCTTTCTAATTTTGTAGTCGAACGTCAGAGCTTTCATTTGAGCCCCATTTGACCCCAAATTTCCGGACATTTCGCATTGATTTTATTATTCAAACTTCGCATGTCTGAATTTGAATGTCGATATTGAGCCGTTAGACAATATTTAAAAAATCTGAAACAAAATGAGAAAGTTTACTTTTAGAGGAAGATGATGAAATTGAAAAATATCATAAAAAATATCATTCAAAAATTAAAAAATTCAATTTTTCAAAATTACGAGCATTTTTTATAAACAATTTGTAAGCAAGTTCAGGTCAAACTCAGGTCTTCGGTTGTAATTGGTAATTTTGAGTCATTCGAGAGAACTTTAAGTGGCGAGAGAGGAAGGGGGTGGAACAACGGGGCAGAACGGGTATTTAGGGAAATTTAGTAACTTTGGTTTTATTTGAGGGACGATTCAATGCAGTAGCTTTTTTTTCTCCAGTGAAATGTTTTTATAATTTTGTAGTCGAAGACGAGAGCTTTCATTTGAGTCCCATTTGACCCTGAGTTTCCGGACATTTTACAATGATTTTAGTATTCAAACTTTGCAGGTCTGAATTTGAATCTCGAGATTGAATTGTCAGAAAACATTTTAAAAATCTGGAAAAAATGATAAAGTTTACTTTTGGGGGAAGATTGATGAAATAATTTTAAAATTGCAATTTTTGGAAAATTACGAGCATTTTCTGTAAATAATTCAATTCAATTCTTCATTTCCTTGATGTTACAAAAGTTTTTCTCTGTTTCACATCTACACATGCCTCCTTTTCTATAAATAATTTATAAGCAATCCATTTTGTATCATAAAAATAATTTGTTCGGAATCGTAACAAATTTATTTATGTTCAGAATTTTACCCGAAATCGATTTCATGCCTGAAAAAATTATAAGATTTTATTGTTCACTGGAAGTTTTAATAATTTCAATTATTTATTTATAAACAACCAATGTCTAAAAAAATAATAATTCCATGCATGATGTCATTGTAATGACGTTGAATATTCATAATTTTTTTTTTCAAATTTTTTAACAAATTTTTTGCCGATCCCCATAAAAAAATATATAAAAAAATATAATATGGGTCAGTTCTATTTTTCAAATCTATAACGAATATATGAAAAAAAATACTAAAATATATGGTTTACATTTTTTTTTTTATATAAATTGGACCAATTTAAGATATTTTTTAATATATTTTTCAAAATATAATGTTTTCCGTGCGAGGAAAGTTATAAATATTTTTCCAAATCGAAGCACATTAATCTCCAGGAGGCAATGATGAAGACCCATGCGCTTTGGGTTAAAAAAATATTAAACCTTCGAGCAGGAAATTTGTTTGAAAATTTACAGGAAACGATGGCGGCTTTCTGTTACCCCTCAAGACAATCCGTAAACTTCGAATATCAATGGCACTCTCATTCATTCGCGGAAAGTCATTAATTACAAACAAAAATATCAACGCAAAACCTCCATCGGCCTTGACTTTAATCACACTATCGATTCGCGAATGCGCCATTCAGAGTAGACGAAAAAAGGGGTTCGGGAATTTTGTTGTCGTCGTATAGTCTGTCGCGCACATGCGATTACGCGTTTCAGGGCTGTGAGAGGACCACCGCCCGCTCGTATTGTGACACGTGGGAGCCTCGCCCCCGGGTCGATATACCCCACAATACAATGGAGCACGTACGACCTCGACCCCGAGACTCAGCGAGAGGGAAAGTTGGCTTTCCCTCCTCAAGCGGAAAACGAGAGCTTTCGGAGTTGGAGAGAATACATCGGCCATTTCTCTTCGCGTTTGTATTGGAATTTTCGTACGTCAGGGAAATGAGCAATCAATTACCTCGTCACTATCAAGTTATGACGAGAATAATCGGAAAATATGTGAATTTATCTCTCACTCAATTTCTTTTGTCTTCATTCTTCCGTAAATATACAGATAATTTATGGGGCAAAATGGGCTTATCTGTAGGGTTTTGGATCGGAAATTTTCCTGGCCTTCTAATGCCACCGGGTTTATTGAGCTGGGGTGCATAGTTTTTGAATTAATGAGCTTTTAGACAGAAGAGAATTGATTTTTGTGAAAATACAGAGTATTCTGGTGTTTACAGTATTTCCTCCTCTCTGGAATTGTCTTTGTGTCCACGGTGCATGCGATAGTGCTCTATTACACTCTGAACATCCAGAACTCGTGTTACCAGAGGACAATAGAATACGAAGTAGTCGGTGGAAACTGTAAATCACAAGTCAATGGCATTGTTATTCTTCCTCGGAGTTCCTCTTTAATTCTTTTTTCGTCTTGTTATTCAATTCCAAGTGCTCTTTATTCGGATGCAATTACAACTAATTAAGCTTTTCAATCAACTCTCCGAGAGGTACTGTTCGCGCAGATATCATGTAACAGGGGAAAATTGCTTGAATTCCTTCATTCATGAAGAGGAGAATTTTAATTCTGTGATTGAGTCCAGGCAGATGTGGTGGAATTGAAGGGGGATCGA